TTGGAGTCAGCGAGGAGCGATGCTGGGAACAACGCCGCTGCTCAGATCGCTTCCTAAAAGGCTCGACGAATCGTGAAGGTCTCTCGTCACATTCGACGATGATGTTGAGAGCACCGACGAGGAAGACGGCGTGTCCATTCTCTCCGGGTTTGCCTGGACCAGTGCCTCCAGCTCTTTCACCACCTCCGCCATCGCCGGCCTCATCTCCGGTGAGTCGTCGCTACACCTCAGTGCCAATGCCGCAAACTTCTCTGCGCTTTCAATCGACCACAGCTCCATTCTCTTGTCTATCATCGACACCATCTTATCCCTCTGCTCCGCCGTCTTCACCTCTCGCACGATGTTTTTGCCATGGGATATGGCGTGCATACCGGTCAGCAGCTCCAAGAACACAACTCCCATGCTGTACACGTCGCTCTTGTCCGTCAGCTTGTGCGTCAGGAAGTATTCTGGATCCAGGTACCCCTGAAAACATTCAATAGTCAGCAATGGATCTCTTGTGCTAACAACAAATATGTTATATTTACATCGTTCGCTTCGATGACTCACTGGAGTCCCGCGAACAACCGTGGAGACGTGTTTAGGCACTTCCTCTTCGTCCTCCAAAGCAGGGGCAAGCCGGGACAGTCCAAAGTCTGCAACTTTTGCATTGAAGTTGGGGTCAAGGAGGATGTTACTGGCTTTGATGTCTCGGTGGAACACTGGCGGGTTGGCTTCTGTGTGAAGGTAGAGAATACCCCTGGCTGCTCCCAACGCAACGCGAATCCTCATCCCAAAGCTCAATGCCTCCTTCCCTTTAGCTGCATCACCACAGATAATATCCCCATTAAATTAGAAAACTAAATGATACACATCTTAAAACACCCATGAATCTTAGTGCTTTTGTACCAGACAACCAGTCGCGCAGGGTGCCATTTGGCATGAATTCGTACACCAGCATCTGCACATTGACCAACCTCATAAGCAAATTAACATAATTCACCCGGCGGCTTTACTTGGCAGCAATAGCGTACCTGCTCGCCTTCTTCGTCACAATAACCGATTAGTGACACTAGATTCCGATGATGCAACCTCGAGAGCAACTCTATTTCATTCAAGAACTCCTTCTCACCTTGCAATGACGCTTCATCTGCTCGCTTTATTGCAGCAACTGTTTTGTCAGATAACACACCTCTATAAACCTTTCCATAGCCTCCGCGCCCAACCAAAGCTGAGCTACTAAAATGGTCGGTGGCCTCTGCTAGTTCTTTGAAACTAAAGCTTGTTACCCCAGAATTCAACAAGGAAGCCTTCGAGGAGGCTGAGAAATACAACCAGATTCAATTAAAGTTGGTTCTAAATCTCAGTGAGATAGATTGGGAATGGCAGATTCGGTTACACTTACAAGATCGTCTTCTAGATATCTCACGCCCATGCTTGCTGTATTTTCTAAGCAACAAGGCCGCAACAAGAGTGGAGATTGCAACAGCAGTCACCACAGCCCCTGCAGTTATTGCAGCCACACGTCCCCAGCTTACGCCTCTCCTTTCACTATTGAAGTTAACTGAGGAGATAAAGAAGACTTCCAGTTAGCAATCAATCAAGATCTGCTTGTGGAACAAAACACTTTATTGGGTTAAAGAGGCGCACCATATGAATAAGGCCCCTGCAGAGTGAAGTTGAGCAGCTCATACGGGCCGAATAAGTCACTACCAGGAAATCTCCATGATGCGAATATGCCTCGGATTCTGAGAACTTCACTCGTGTTAAATGTTCTCGAATAGCTTTCATTAACTTTTGGAAAAAGTTTCAGATACATCCTCATACGAGGCCCTTTCTCCCATTGATATGAGTCGATCCAGAGTTGATATGGTTCCATTTGAAGGAAATCGGTAACATACTTGCCAAATTGATCAGTATATGGAGGGAAGTATGAGAAACTCGGACTTTTAAGACGATATCCGATCCTGAGAGGCGCTGCACAAAAGCATTGTGAAGGGGATGCTGGACTGTATTCGTAGAAGTCAGGAGTGGGACAGGCTAGAGGAGGACAGTCTAACGCAGGATTACTTGAGTTGATTGGTAGCGATGTCCACTCCTTCCCTAAGGACTCACAGAAGAGGCCTGCGTTTGATATGCTTCTGTTCTTGCAAATTGGATTACCATCAAGCCTGGATATGAATTAACCTTTCCGTAATGAGCATTCAAGGCAGAAACATCAATATGCTAACCAAGTTACAAATACGACTATGGAGCACCTTAAAGTGACATTTTCCGGAGGAGTTAGATCTCCTTCAACATGTGACAGAGTATTATTCCTGAGATCACTGTAAGAAATGGGAGAATATTAGAGAAGTTGATCAACTACAGGTGACTGTAAGCGAAGGAGGGAAACAAGGACTTTACAGTAGAAGTCTAGCCTTCTTCGGTAATGAGATATTCCGCCAGAGGGAATCAGGGACAGATCCAGATAACAAATTGTTCTTCAGCAACCTGCAGAAGATGAGTTTTTATTTAATTTTATTTGCCAAGTCGACATTGATACTCATAAGCTTATTCTCTTTGAATATGAAGAAACATAAACATAATTTCTCACAGCATCTGAAGCAAAGGGAGATCTGAGAAGCTCTGAGGAATGGATCCGTTGAGCATGTTGTTTGATAAATTACTGCAATTAACCAGTATGGAACTTAAAGCAATAAGGAATACGTGTAGACATAATTGAAGTTCACCGGTTAAGAAAAAAGGACAAAGAATTAACAACTGTATAAAGCATACATGGTTGTCACATCCTTTGAAAAGTTAGAGGAAGGCAAAGGTCCTGTGAGCTCATTCCAGCTAAGATCCCTGTAGCAAACAAGAAGCACAAACACATTCACAACATGGGAAAGAGAATCCATGCATTGAGATTGTTCAAAACTTACACGTATTTGAGATGACGCATCCTGCTAAAATCAGGAAGAGTCCCTTTCAAACTACAATTTCTAAGACTCCTGTAAGCACAAAAGGACAAAGCACATGATAAGCTCTCTCTATATCTTTGAAATGC